TATTACATATTTCATTTCAAATTTTGACATACAACAGTGTAGGAAAAAAATCGCTCTCCTGAAAAACTTGTTTTTTTGAGTTACCACGATTTAGTTTCAAAGTGACGTTATCTCCTCCAAGGTTTTGTTGCAACTGGCACACTGCTACACTATTCCCTAAAACCAAGATGGCGAATTGCGCCAATGCGATAACGATTTATCTGCTCTTAAAATTAATTTTATGGAACTATGAAGATAACACGTTGTATCTCTAAAAGGGTGATTCTTTTTTACACAAAATGACCCAAATATCTCATTTTTCGATTTTTTTTTTGAGTTACTACGGTTTAGTTTCAAAGCGACGATATGTAAAAATTCTAAAAAGTAGCTAATATTTAAAAAAATGTCGTAAAATTAAAAACAAAATACAGAAAAATATCCAAAAATTAAAATAATTTCTTAAATCTCAAAAAAAGACAGAAAAAAAAAAATACTTTGTCCAAAACGTGCAAACGTGTCTAAAATTTGCAATATATCATCAAAACCCGGGTCTTAGTTATAATAAACCTAAAATAAAATTTTAAATATAATATTTTTTTCCCTACCGATTAGTTCACCCTTTAAAAAGAAATAGAGGATAAGGATCAAATTTTTCGATTCATTAATTTAAAATTATTCGTAAAATAAATTAAACGAACTAAAAATGCAATAAAAAACTGAGTATTTTGCCCAATTTATAAATATAATCCAAAGGAGCAAGGAAAAGTACTAAAAGTCGCTCGGAATTAGGATATTCTTTCATTTTATTGATTTTCGTAATTTAAAAGTAGCTTCTTTGAAATAAAAAGAATTCGCTTAATTAAATTTGAGGGCCTAAAATAAAAAGATTCTGTATCGATAATTTGAGGAAAGAAGTACTTGAATAACTTCTTTCTGATCTTTGTTCCGGATATTTAAAAGAATTTTGCATTTTTAAAAACATTTTTAACAAGTTCAATGATCACTGGAAATTGAATTCTCATTCTTGACATAGAGCAAATTAAATTAATTCTTCTTGCTTGGATATTTTTTAAGTAATTTATTTGGAAATAATCATTTTATTCACTTAATTATTGCTTTTAACACAGTAATAAAGTCTGATTTTTTTTTGAGCATATTTCTCTAATTAAATATAAAATTGCTTTAAAGTTAACATTTTAGTAGCAGCCATTAATTTGATAAGTGAGTTTCGTTTTTTGAAATGTTGCAAAGGATGAAAATATTTTCGAGACGTAATGGTACTACTTTTGATATTCATGTAATAGGTATTTTAGTATAAGCTTCCCTTAATAATGTCTCGTTTAAGGAATTTAAAAAGCTCAGAAGTATGTTTCAAAATTTTTATGTTTATTCCTTATTACGCAAAGTCAAAATATTTTTTTTTAATCTTTAAGAAGAGTTTTCATTTCTTTTTTAAGAAAAATGTCTAAGAAAGTTCACCTAATATTATAGAAGCTAGACAGGATGTTTTGAACTTCGGAGGCAGATATTTTCTTGTTCAGTTTAAATTGGATACTCAGTTTCTGAAGCAAATGCACCATTCAAAGCTATTATAATTTAAATTATCTGCAAGTTTGTTTTGTAAACGATTTTCCTTCAAATATTATCTATATTCTTTACATAAAAAAATGGCTTTGTTTTATATTGCTTGAGTTTAATTACATAATAGCTAACGAGTAAAAAGAAACGAACAATTCTTTTTATTCACAATTAAATTCTCTAGAGATCAGAAAGCAACAAAGTTTTTGCGAGCTCTATAAAAATTTCCTTTTCGAAAGGTTTCTCAAATTACATTTAATAATTTACTTTCTGTAAAGTTTTATTGAAATAAATTAAAGGAGTCTTCCTCATTTCAAGAACACAGTAAAATTATAAATCTCCTGCAATTTTGCACACATTGCTAGAATCCTTGTAAAAATTAAAATTTTAGGAATGGTAAATTAATATTAAATCGACAAAAAAATGACACTATTGAAGTTTTACAGTTTTACGAATCACTATTAAGGAGGGTGGAGCTATAATCATAAAAACCTGTTAAATTGCCAATTACAGCACAGTTGAAAATCTATCGTTAGTTACTCCTCTAAGCTACATCAGGCAATCAAATCGGTTTTGACGTTTCTCTCCCGACTCTCCTCACTAGTGATTCAATGGAGTTTAATGCGTTTTTGTTCCTCTTTTGAATTAGATTTCTACTGCTGTTATGTAAGCTTTCCTGCAACTCTCTCTCTCTCTCTCTCTCTATACAGTGAAACCTGCCAAGTTGACCACCCTTGTAAGTTGGGCACCTGCATAAGTTGACTTCAATTATCAAGAACGGAATTTTTCTTATATAATATAAAGCAGCAAAACCTTTGTAACTTGACCACCTGTCTATCTTGTATGTTGACCACTGAAATAAGTCAATTTTGTCTAGGAGTATTATGAAATTCTATTCTAAAACCCTCATAAGTTGACCAGAAAAAAAAATTCAGA